TATTTTTGAATACATTGTATCTGGTAGCGTTTCCATCACTGGAAGCGTTAAAGAGCGTCATTAGAACTTATGAAATAGCAACGTCCTGCCATTATGCGGTGAAAGATTCTCATTTCCATGGAGATCGGAAGCCGTATAATAAATTTGTATGTTGGAGAAAGAGCTATAAAACACCAGGCGGTTCTTCGCAGCCGATTAGACGCTGTCCTTAACTATGCTCATCAATAGCTTTACGATGGATTATCTACTACCATCACAATGCCCGTCGTCCGAAATACCACAGGCACCAACCGTCAACAGAACGTAGATTTGGATGTTACCTTAAATGATAACGAGATTGAAGTAATATCTATGAACTCAGAAGAGTTTACGGACCGAGACAATGAAGAAGACGAACGTGCTCACAATGACCGACTGTGTGATATTTGCCATCTACGTCAGCCGCCCAGTGAAATAGTTGATGGAAGTGCTTGGATTTTTCGTCCATACAACGCTATGTTTCATTCGTTCTGTGCCTACTACCCATCAGAAGTATCACCTGGGTTCAACTGTCCCATATGCGGCGCTGTTACGGACTCATAGTGGAGTCATTGATCAGGACATAAGGACCTGTGTAGAGACCGAATAAAGGCCCTTTTCAAGGCCACCGACAATTTGATTTAAATTTTGTTTGAATTTCTTGTTTACATTTTAAGGAGGAGTCATGAAACCATCAATAATTCATTTTACATTCATATGATTTGGTTAATAGGTACAGTAGAGAAATGTAGTAAGATCAGTTCACTAGTACAACAAGATCTTTTCTATTGCTAAGGTCAAGTGAACAGACACTGATCGGTCATCACAATTCCATAGTAATGAAGCTGTAGATTACTAATGATCATCGCTTACTTTATTACTTTGTCAACAGCTTGTTCATTGACACTTTATTCAATCTATATTACAACACATATGCTTGTCAAAAAAGGGTTACTTTTTTCCAACATTCACCGATTTAGTGTTTGACAATATAAGAGGAGTGATTATTATCCCTTTGTGATGGATAATGTACATACAGTTTATCATTGTACGTCTAGTATGTTTAACAAAGGGGAACTGTTGAGTTGGAAATATAATTCCAGTCTTTCTAATTAATTAACATTTACAATGTTAATTATCAGATGGCAATGAAAAAATTCAGATCATGATTTTGATGAAAGGCGGTACACTTCAAAAACATTGACTGTTAACATTACGTGCCAATAAAAACGTTATGCCCATCTGACAAATACAATAAACCGTATTACATGATGACTGAGTACAACACTAACATGTAATTTAGGTGATCATTAATAAGTGATCAACTACATAGAATGTACAGATCAAAATATTTTATACCATTTAATGGATTGACGACACCCTTTTCAAAGCTAAACTGATCCACTTTTTAGTATTAAAGAATAACGATTCGCAAAATAAGCGAATTATGAAGATTATTTGCTTCTATTTTTTCTCAGACAGCGTAAAAGTTGCTTCATTTACAACCATCTTTTACGGTTAGCGTGACTTTGACATGCCTCATTCACACTTTCTCTTCATCATTTACACGTTTCATTAAATGAGTGAACTATGTGTTTAAATTAACTTATGCGAATACTGAAATGAAATTGTATTCACTAATTGTGTATTAAACATTTGAGATTACCCTTTGCAAATTCAATAATCACCATTATATCAACTATTATGTAACAATGATCTACACATTATTATTACTACTCTTGTCACGACGATAACTGACAACTTCAGTTGCATTTCTACTTCACTGACAGCAGCAGTATAGCAGGATAATGAAAAGGATTTTTGTTTATTTCCAAGTTAAACTCAGATGGAACAATGCGAAAATAGTTCATTATTGTAAATAATAATCCGATGTGAAAATGTCAATTCTTACATTTAATAAAAGTACTTTATTCTACTTCGATTTGAACGAATCAAACTACAAAACTGCACCATTTACAACCAATTAATAAAAAAATTATTACAGGTGACAAAATGTTTGTTCACATTTCACTTGAGCACAAACTTTCAAAAACAAATTCATCAATTGCTAAATTTTCTTTCACATCCTTCATTTTAGAAAAAAAGGGTGGTAGGGGGATAATACGAGCTGTGATTCTAATGTCAACCCTTACTTTGGGTGTAAGTTAAACATGGCAACCTTACTACTTTTATTTTCATTGCTCACTACTGTTCACAATCAATGCATAGACTTTTCTCAGCCTTTGAGTAAATTGCCTTCGCTCCCCCACTATGTCCAGAGTTTACTAGGACAAGTTTCAGAGGGTTAAATAATTGAGTAGAAACTTCTAAAACTTCCCAATCTTCGGATTCTGTGGTTTTCCTCAAAGTCATATGAACATTTATGGCTTTATCCAGTCTGGGGAAAATCCTAAATTACCTCAAAAGTGTTAGGGATTTCCCCAAAATAACTTGAAGTATTGGGTAGAAAAAAACACAGATCAGGGGGAAGTTTGGCGGTTTTAGTAATATATTCCACAAACGTTTCTATTGAAGCTCCTACGAAATTGATAAGATTTTCCCCAAAATCAGAAGATTGGGTTGCTAATATGAACTTCCTTCGGAATAAACATACACTTTATGAACTAACTGAGCTCAATGGCGATAATTTTAAAAACCATACTACTTACAAGTAGTAAGGGTCATTAAGTGGAAAGATACGTGTTGACTTCGTGATTGATGACTAAATCAATTACTCGAGTTGGAATAATGAAGTTTGGTTTAGCTATGACAATTTTATGCACATTTAATAAATGATCATCCTGCTTTGCGCTTGACAACTCAGTAGTTGTACATTCTGCCATGATGGACATGATGGGATTCGGACTCATTCTGGCATTCGTTTCTGAAACAGCCTCTATTGAATCACTGGAAGGATTAGGTACGACTATTAAATCGGTTAAACTACTGCTTATCAACGGTTTGTGTAGCTCTTAACGCATGGATTTATTCAATGTGGAGAAATCAGTACGAAATTTATTTCTATATCAATTATCACCATTATTGCAGTGTATGACTCGTCAACCCTGAATTTAGTCTTTCTATAAATTTCGACTGATTCTGAATGAACCTCTCTTACATTTGTAACAATATATGGATTATTTCTGAAGTAATAGAGATCACTTTCTGCTGTTGAACTCTTCCCAAATTCTCACACAACTGATGCGAATTCGAAATAATAGTTTAAAATCTCATTGAAGCTATCTGCTGAATGCAGGATTATTCTCCTTCTTACTGCTTTGCCTAACATCAGAAGTTTAGTCTAGTGATATTATTTCTTTCCTCTCTTTGCTCGAAATTCCAGTCAATAATTTTGTCATGATTTGAGACACTAATCGGTATCATGTGCTAAAGTTACCAGTCGAAATCCTGAATACATTATTTTTTCTCCCTAGTCTACTATTCTGGTCAAAACATAGCATCTCAGAGTTGACCAATTATACGTTTCGACCTGCAAGGTTAACCTTGAGCCAGTTTAAGGTACTTCTATGAATCCGGTGTTCATATTGTTGTGCTAACGAGGTATGACAACTTGGACCGATGCATATGTGCCTGGTCCTGCGTTGTAGCTGACTGACTGAGTTCAAGCTACACTTTTATTGATGGGCCACCCAAAAGCTTTTTTCTGTCCTCTACATTGAGTCTGGGTCCTACCATAGGTATATTTCAATTATCCAGCTCAGTCAACAACTACTTCAATCACCCACTAACTTATATACACAGGTTAGACTGTGCAGAACATCAAACAAGAAACCATACTTTAAATACAATTAGGCCGCAAATGGCAAGGAAGTAAGAGAACAGTACACAAATAATTGCCAATAATTAAAGAATAGTAAAACCTATAAAGACAGTTAATAAGTCACCTGGAAGCTTACAGTGGGAATATATAGATACAGTGATACGAGTATTTATTAGCTATACACTAGAAATATAAATAGTAATCCGAAAAATAGTTCCGAAGGTTACGACTTTCCCGATACTCAACCCGTCATAACAGATCACACGACTGAGACAGTTCCTCGGGCACAGCGTGATATCTTCGATCAGGAGTTTACTAGTTAGAAATTAGGTATGCATACTCAAAAATAAACAAACACTCGAACCTGGCTCTGTACACTAATTTACTGAATGGCTATACGTGTTTCGATTTATTAAGGATTACGTCCCAGTGACAGGAATTATAAGTGTAGTAGAGAGTAATTTACGAGGAGTTATCAAACTCATACGTACATTAGGAAAGCACGAAGTGAAATAAAGAATTTACTATCAAGTTGTACAACCGTAGTTACATGAAATTGAGGCTTCATTTTATGACGAACACGATGATATGACGAAGATAAAACTCTAATATTATTATTGTAAAGGAAAACAAAGCACGTTTGAGCAACTTCCACAAGACATTCGTGAATAAGTTAGCACATCGAGAAATGAGATAGGTGGACCTAATTCCCTATCGTGGTTTACAAACATTGAAGGGATGTTGAACGTCAATCACAATCATCATAAAAATTTATAAATATGGTAGTCCTGTCTCTCGTAGGAGTTGAGACGCTTAATGACTACATTATATCGGTTTCTCAAGCTTAGGTATGAAGTAATCTGTTAAAAAAGCACCTATGATAACCGCAACCCTTTATCAGATTTCTATATCGAAAATAAACTGGAAGTTCAAAGTGCAACGTAATAACAGTCCATTCAACCAAGTAGTTAGCGAACCAGTATCTATGGTGTGTGGCTCAACTTAGTTGCACTAGTGAACAAAGAATATCAAATGAGAATACTATGTTCCCAGAAGTATCAACTTACAACTCCTCGATTTACGTTTGTAATTGCTTTCAATATCAACGTGTTAGTGGACCATGATAAAAGTATTAAACTTCAGATTAAGACGATAAAACTAAACTAATATGAATACTAATTGGTGAAATCAAAACACTTAATCAAGTATTTTCAATCTCTTTTTTAGTACATTGGGTACAGGTATATATTACAGTTTGTCCTTCATCTGCTGAACGAGTTTGAAGTGTAACATAAGTCATTCTATCATTACCGCAATAGGCACATTCTTTTCTAATAGATGGTCTATCAAATGTTGATTGTGATGTACTGTTTTCAAATTGTGACTCCAAAGCCTCCTTTAAAGCGATTTCTGATCTTAAGATCTTTTTAACTCCTATAATCATCGATGGAAAGAATAACGATGTAGATTCATACTCATAGTTATTAAATTGGCCTATTTTACTAGATTTGGCTTCAGTATTGAAAGTTGCATCCATATTACTGAACCAATGCATACATGTAGAAGTTTTACATTTTCAGCATACTAATAAATCATTAACTTCCAACTTGTGTGGAAGAAGAGTTCCACAAACGTAACAAAAATATCGATGAATCCGTTCTAAGCCAAGAGGTGGACCGGAATAATTCTGAAGCATATTTCTGCAAGTAAAATGAATAAAAAAACTGCAGGTGATATGTGACAACGTAATTGATAGTTCAGAGGGATATGAAAACAGAGAACACCAATCAAACGCGACAGTTGTTGAATTATTCACGATATATGGTCAGTTCACACGGGAAACATACTTTGACAATTTGTACGAATTCGAAAATTCCCATTGAGTATTCAAAACAAGGAATGTTTGAGGTAAAAATTGTTTTCAATAATTTCATCAGACTATACAGTAATAAATCCATGCTTGCTATATTACGATAGTTGAAATAAGATATGTGCAAATCAGTCGGGACAATAAGCCTATGAACGGTACAGGAGGAAACGAAGATGAAAAATCTTGTAAATCATAGGCAGCTGACCATATCAGAGTTTAGTGTTGATAATAATGAAGACGGATAGTGACATAGCTGTCAATGAACAGTCGTAAAATTTCAGATTCTATTCTGTAAATGAGTTCCCAGAGCATAATTACAAAACTAGGAAAGAGAGCAGATTCTATATTATCGTAAGTGATATTAGGAAACCATAACCCGTGCAATTTAAACATCAACAGGAGGTTCAAATATTAGAGAACAACTAAGTAAACCAACACTTTTCACTTACTGATAGCTTATTTAGCAAAGTGTCACCTTAGCTTTGAAAACCATTACTAGTGTCAACCAGAGAGTAGGATTAGCTAACTATTAATCTTAATGTACAACTAAAGAAGCCCACAGGAACAAGTTGCAGGTGTAGACATTTTAAAGATGAAACGTTTTGAAGTAATTCGAGAGAAATTCCTTCTCATCTCCCTTCAGTTTGTTGTTCATCAGTTGACCTAAGTATGTAAAGAATTAGATGTCACACTTAACAAAATTACTGTTATGGATTTAAGCATGTAGGTTGTTTGATTTTCATTGTGTACAGGTTTTAAAAACATTTTACAAGCTGACTTAAGACAGACAACAGTTGGTTCATGAGAAGCTCAATAATCAAACACACTATAAACAAAATGAATAGAAATCCACCAAATTCAATGAACGTCCATCTTCTTTAGACCGTTAGAACTGTCTTTATACTTTTAGAGAAGGTAGAATTATAGATGACAAAGGAGAAATTTTCAACCTCTTCTTCTGTAGTGAACGAGAACACAAGTAGGGACAATCAAATGTAGTTGAACACAAAATTACAGAACATCTCAGTTAAATCAGAGAACTATACAGTTGTAGTAGGCGTGGAGTCGAGGACGGACTATGATCACCACTACAATTCGATTACGCGCCCAGAATCGACTTGGTTCCTTTGATAACTTGCGAGCCAGAAGGCCTTATTCAGTTCAGACAAAGTATATTTATTGGCTATCTCGTGGTATCGAAAGAATACCGAGACGTGTGAACGAGTACAGGCAAAATGGGCAGAGCGTAAGAAAGTTCGAACCAAACAAGGCGGATAGCGGAACCAGAAGTGAGTCTGATACAGTTAAACAAGTTCAGTAAGACAATCACTGGTACAATTGGTTACAATAATAATAATTGTTTCTATTATTCCAATCGTGTTCTCATCGAGACAAGCTGATCACTACACAGTAAACACTTTATTTGCAAAATGTCAATCAATCATCTCAGACTTCATTGTTCCTGCATTTTCAAACGACTTGCTTTCTGTTCCCGTTTTTTCCTTTACAATCTTCTCGACCTTTTGGTTCCATATATTCTAATACTGACTATCGTTATATACTACTCATATCGATATAAATAGTAAACACCACACTTCTAATATGGTTTCAACTTGTAATATTCTCAAAAATCTGATAAATACTATCCTAAATATGCCTTAATTAGGAGTATATAGGACTTTTGATTTAAATTGTCACTTATTTATACCTATTCACAACCAATTAGTGTCTATATAACATATTCATAATATTACATAGTTGAAATCATGAGTCAATTGAAGCTAAACCACCATGAAAAACCTGGAAGCACTGGACGTCCTTTTCTTCTTATTATGAGACTCCTCAGCAGTGCGCATCCACGATCCTGCTCCTCAAGATTTGAACCCAGGACCCATCGATAACTATTCATAATAATCTTGACTAAGTTACTAACTCTATGACAATTCAATTCTTTAAACATAGTAATCATAATCATAAGTGTCATTGAAACAATCCTTATCAATATAGAAACAATCTTATAAACAAATACCATATTTCGAATGGATATATGTATATGTTTATATACATCTATATACGTTTCATTGGGGTAAAAAGAAGAGTCAAAGCATATAGATATAGATACAAAAACAGAAATGCAAAATGCAGAATGCAAGAAAAATAACCCATCATCATCATCATCATAATAATAAGATAGAATATCTAGCCAATTGAATGATTAAACAAAAAACAATTTTGTTTATATTATACATATTACTATCAATTCAGTAAATAAGTAGTTAAAAAGTTCATAAATCAATAATTAATCAATAGTAGTAGTAGTAGTAGTAGTAGTAGTAGTAGTAGTAGTCGTAGTATTCGTGGTAGTAGTAGTAGTAGTAGTAGTAGTAGTAGTAGTAGTAGTAGTAATGGTAGTAGTATTATTACAATTTACAATAGTATTTTCCTATTCATTATATGTATAGGTAGATATATACCTTTAGCTACACAGTACTATATACAATATTGCATAACCTGATTGACTGAATACATCAGTTCATGGTTTGATCGTTCAGTTTACAGGAAAAATGGAAAAAAAAAACAAGAAAAGAAAGGACACTTTTTCTCAAAGTAGACATTACAGAATGTAATAGAAGTAATGGTACATTCTGATCAAATTATTACATAATCATTTTGAAGAAAGTTAGGGTAAGACTAGGATTTATGGATGATCTTTCATAGACGTCCGATTGACCTTGAGAGTGTTCACCTGGTAACTAAGACTAAGTAAGGGTTATAAATCAGTTCGAGGAATTAGGATTAAGATTTACAGTTGATGGTTAGAGTTAAGAATTAGATTTGCCGTTTTCATCACGAATTGACCTCAGCCATAATGCCAAAACTCTATTAAGCCAAATGGATGAATGAATTTCGCGCTGAAATCCAAGATCTGCTATATTCAATCCGATTGGCTCATCCATAGATTATAGTCTCCTTGAAAGTTATTTTTTAGAACATTTTATATATATATAGTTCGGGTTTTTCATTTTAAATAGTAAGTAGTATATCATCTTGTATTTTAAAAAAGAAAGAAAACGTTGTTCAATGATTGTTTCATGAATGGATTGATTACATAGTGAACTTGATCCATTATGATATATAAATGAATTATTAAGGCACATAGTCTTCTTATTCTTATTATCTTTATCATTGTCAACTTCAATTTCAGAAGTTCCGGTTGAACTTTGTTCTTCTTTTCGTTTTTCTTCCCTTTCCTCGTTTGCTGCCATAGTAACATGATCCGTTTCACCATTGGATACCGTTTTAGGTTGCATTGACTCCTTTTCTTCTTTAATCTTTTCTCGTCGTTTTTGTTCTTCTTCTTCTTCTTCTTCTTCTTCTTCTTCTTCTGCAATTGGTCCATTTCTATTTATTGTAGATTGTTCTGTATACATCACTGATATAGTTTGAGTTATATTATCATTTTTATTAGATGATATTGATTCACCGTCATATCCATTTATTGAACTTAATGATGGACTTAATTGAGGTATAGATGAAAGGGTATTATCTATAATTGAAAAAGAAGAATATGTAAATGCGTTTATTAAACACTGATATTTATGGTATTTTTTAAAGTTGATATAATACCACTACTTAATCGTTAAATAAGTAGTTTGAATAATATCACTGAAAATTGGTGTGGTTGTATGAAAAGATAAGTGACATGTAAATTAATTTTGAATATTTCATTAGTTCAGATTATGAATCAATTGAAGTTAGACCACCATGGAAAACATGTAAGCGCAGCACGGCCGTTTCGTCCTATTGTAGGACTCCTCAGTGGCAGTGCGCATCCACGATCTCGTCTCACGAGATTCCAAACCAGGACCTATCAGTCTCGCGCGCGAGCATTTAACCACCAGACCACTGAACTTGCTGGCCTACACCCAACAGTGTTAATTTGTAACTTCAACCAATCAATATGATCGTTTCGGAGCTAATCAAACTAGTTCTTCAAATAGATTAGATCTTTTGAATTTTGAACATTGAATGATAACTAATCATTCAGTGAAGAAATTTTGATCTAAAGAGATAAAATTACATAATTTATCAAAAGATGCTATTAGCCATGGAACCAATCTATTGAGGATCACTTGAATTTAAAATCTTACAACCATTATGCTCTGTCAAAAGTCCAATTCACTCGATCACTATGGTGTGTTACTGACTGACTGATTAAATACATATTTGCCAGGTGATCTGAAAGCTGTCTTCTCAATACTGGGGATGTAGTGAATGGGAGTAATCAAATGTATTTGAACACAAAATTACAGAACCTGTTAGTGAAATCTGAATTTCACAGTTACTTCACAGTTATATAATATGCCCTTGTGAGCTCGGATAATTTTACATTGATTTTCAGGAGAACCGGACCTCATCCAGACTTTCACGTGACAAACTAAACCGTACAGCTCAATCCCGTACTACTGCTACTACAAGGAGGGAGAAGTGGGAGAAGAAGAAGATGAAGAACAAGGAGAGAGACTAACCATGACCATGTATAATAATCATGAAGTTAACAAATATACAAGACAATGTTTATTAACAAAAGAAGTGAAGTTGTAAGAAGAAGAAGAAGAAGAACAAAAAAAGAAAAAAAGAAAAAAAGTAAAAAAAGATAGAATACGAAAAGGGGGAGAAAGAATTGAACAACTAAATTTGTTGTGCAAAATGGGGTGGTGATATGTCAGGACTACATGAAATTTATTACTAAGTTACCCTGCTGTGTAATATAGATAGATGTGTGTTTATGAGTGTGAGTGTGTGCATGTTTAAAATTGATTTCTAAAAAAGAAATGATATTTTCAAATAAGAGCTAATCAGATATGTTGGCATAACTGAAGATTGAATAGTTCCTTTTTCCTCGTTGAAGTTCTTCAAATGGATCAAGTAGTTCAAATGATAGCTTATACTTCAACACTTACTTAAAAACTATTTTACCTACTTGTGAGTAGGATAAATCAAATTGATTAAATAATAAGATTAGCCAAGTGAATCTGTCAATACATGCTAACCTAGACACGAACAAATGCAGACGAAGACAGCAAATGTAGAAGCAGCAGCTTCTGTATCAATAGGCCTCAACATACACAAAGGAAAAAGCAAGATTCTCAAATACTACACGAGGAACACCAAACCAGTCACACTTGATGGAGAAACTCTGGAAGATGTGAAAACATTCACGTACCTGGGAAGCATCGTTGATGAACAAGGAGGATCTAATGCAGATGTAAAGGCGTGGATTGGCAAAGCAAGGTCCGCATCCCTACAACTGACAAATCTATGGAACTCAAAATAACTGTCACCTAATTTCAAAGTGAGAATCTTCAATACGAACGTCAAGACAGTCCTACTGTACGAAGCTGAAACGTACATCGTCATGAAGGTACAAGTATTTATAAACAGTTGTTAACGCAAAATACTCAACACGCACTTTCCGGATAATATCATCAACAGCGTTTTATGGGAGAGGACAAACCAGCTTTCAGTTGAAGAGGAAATTAGGAAAAGACTTTGGAAGTGGATCGGACATACATTACGGTAATCACCAAACTACATTTCGAAGCAATCCCTAACTTGGAATCCGGAAGGGGAACGAGAAAGTGGAAGACCAAAGAACACATTACGCCGGTAAATAGAAGCAGATATGAAAGGAATGAATAACAACTGAAAAGAACTGGAAAGGATTGTTCAGGACAGGGTTGAATGGAGAATGCTGATGAGCGGCCTATGCTCCTCGACGAGTGGTAACAGGCGTAAGCAAGTAATTAAGTAGTCTGTACTGTTGCCTGAAGCTAAGACTCACTAACTGTTGTTATATGGAATAGTGTCTCCTAACTACTATTAACTGATCGTTCACTTGTTGTGCAATTTCCTATCATTTATAGCTCCGTTATTCATAAATTATGGTCGCTTATTTGAGGTGTAGTCCTGTCTGATCATTCTTGTATATAAATCAATTTGTATTTGTTTGAAATACAACAAAAGATTCTTTGTTCAGTTACCGTGTACGTGCTTCAGACTGAAACTAATCTAAAGAAAATCGTGCTTCCTGTACCAATATATGTTACCAATTATCTTGATCATTGCTCAATTCCCACAATAGGACGAAACGGCAGTCCAGTGGTTCCAGGTTTTCCTCGGTGGTCTATCTTCAACTGACTCATGATTTCAACGATCAAGTTAAATTGTTGTTGATCAGTGTATATCACTGGTCAATGTTATGGCTGTCCGTTTTGCAGGCAAAACCTACATTACAACTTGTAAATTTCAATAATGGACTTAAATTGATGAAATATTCACAAATGATTCAAGTTCTGAACATTTACAAAGATTTATTGTTTGGTTATATCTAACATACTCTGCGCTACGGCGATTCTTCAAATGTAAAACGCTCTCTCCGCCGTTCATTCTTCTGCTTTATTGGTCACGGCCCTTGATTGAAGATTATAATAGTATTATAGCATCCTTTTAGGCCTTCCCACACTATTTTGGAGCTTTTGCCCCGATCATTATTAAATCATACTACAGGATTTAATCTTCTTGATTTTGCTGTTGGTGCCATCACGTGTAGAGGAACCTTTGTTAATCAAGTGAATTTATTTGTGGTTGTCATCTCAGAGAGCAGCTTACAAGTAACATTCATGTCATAACAACTATTACCATTTGTTGCCTAATATTACCATTTTATATTGTAACTGTAATTTGTTAACTTTCGCGCTATTCATAGACATACGCTTAGGTTTGTAGTGTTAATTGTTTTTGGCATATTATTGGTAACTTTGCGCATTGTTATCAAGATGTTCACTCTAGTACTTGAACCTAGTACCTTTCGCTTCAAATGCCATCGCCTTATTCACTCAGCTACTGAGTCCTGATAGCCATTTGCTTGCACAATGAGGTGAAGTTTAAATTCACTTGGTATTGTTTGTTTGAATCTTCCCATTGATGTTTAAGACTGCAATTGATCAGTCTCTAATTGGCATATGTGCATTATGTGCGTATTGCCTCGATATAGTGAAAAGTACTGGGTTCGAGCGCACAGAGTGAACATCAACTCTAAGATGCAGGTACATTCACCTGACGAGTCCGAAATAAGACGAAACCCGCGTCCTTTATTCCACTGCTAGCCACTATCCATCTTTGCTTATAATGCTTAGTTATTAAAAATCGTCATATTTTGAATTATGGATAATTAAATAATCAAGTATTAACTAGATTCAATAGAAGGTGAAATGTTGACTGAAATACCTAAGATATACATCCAAAGTAACGAAACTTTAGAATCTTGCGAATCAGTCAAAAGTTCCAAGAAAAGGATTTCTTGTTTGGCAAGTGAGCAACTCAAAAGCTTGACACTGATTTCCTTACCGCATTCTAAATTTCCTGAATCCTCTCACACTTGTGGTAGAAAAAAGGCTCAGTATAAAGAGAGAGGCCTCACTTCATAATTCGTTAATATACATAAAACAACTGTAATTATGAGTTCATTGGTAACCTTTGGTGTGTAGAACCAAAATTAGGAATCATTCTGTTATAGTATGGCACATAGGCCCTCAATTTTCTGGATGATTTTGTGACATATACGAATTGAACGAAATTTCCCTAGCTTTTGCCTGACTTTTAAAGACGTCGTCGAGGGATTCTTCGGAAATTGTAACATTCATTTTTTTAAAGGATATGATTTACTTTTTGTGCCCATCCGTTTTCTGGAGGCATTTCACTTTCCTCGTTTTTTATCCATCTCTTTTGGTTTTTTGTACTTCAATGGTTTTGATTTTTCATTCATAATTATGATGTTGACTGGTGTAGATTTAAGTTGAAAGAAAGCTAGAGGTGGTCAATCCAAGACATGACATCAATTCAAAAAGCCACTGAATATTGGAATGAACTACATTAATAGATATAGACCATCTGGTTGAGGTTTGCCTCATTATCGTTACCAATGGTTAGAGAATTTGAGTGAAATAACTCAAAATGCAGAAACATAGGAACAAAAATCAAACCAATGGGAGGTACAACCAAAACAAAGAAATAAACAGTGACAGATTTAAGGTCAACAAAAACCAATCAACATCAAGGTGTACAGGACAAGCTGTGAATCACATGTGGAAAAATTCAAACACTTCACTTCTACCCGAACTTTTCGCTGATGATGTCGTTCAAAAGGACGATGAAAGCTGCACGAGAAAACCATCGAGCTCAGAGAACAAACCTCCATCAAAATTATCCAACTGAGATACAAATCTTCTCGACCTGACTCAAAATGGTTTGTAATGGTCGACATGCATCCATTCTTCATCTTCCTGTCAAATCCTGAGCTTCTGAATTCCTCATAACTTTCTTCGTGCTTCTATTTCGCCAATTTATATTTTCTTCATGAATCATATATTTGATACCTCGTCTTTTCTATCGTCACTTATATTGTTTCCATTTCTGCTTTTATGGAATTTGGCCTGACAACTTTATCTTGCTGTGTTAATGAGGTATGGCAACTTGAACTGATATACATACTTACCAAGTTCTACGTTGTGACTGACTGACTGAAACGTTTGTCTCAAGGTTGAAGACCACTTACATAAAAACAATGTCACCTCTGAATATTGCTGATGATAATTTGTCTCTTTAAGTGTAACAAAAGACAGTTGAAACTGACGAAATAGCAATGCAGCTTCTCATCTGTCAATATTGGCTTTCATCATATCTAGCTTGACGGATGCAGCAACTAGAAATTCCAACGATTAGGAATCCAAACTACAAATTTTCCGCCTTTTTATGTATACAGACGACAATTTTACGTAGGCCTCTAACAATACATTAACATCCGACATTATTTTAGTATTTATTTGCAAAAGAACTTAGATATTGCAAGCATAAAAGTGAGTACACATACAACTTACTCGTTAGATTAATTCTGTAAAAATGGCTGGCCAAGAATTGGATGAGTTAAGTGGTGATATAAACTTACACTAGGTGAACTGTTTGTGAAAATATTCACGTTCAAATAGTGGTCAGAACTGCGAATAGACTCTATTTCGACAGCCTCAACTCGTCGTCAATGTGAGCATATTCTTTTTCTTTTACGTTTTCTCATAACTGATTTTATTGCATATAACCGTCAATTTACCTATTGAACCTATTTGAATGATACGATAGAGTATCATCATGATCAGCATTGCTTGTGTAATAGTCAAGGATAATTTCAATAATGGCTTTCAATCGACAGCTGATCATATATATGATCATAATTCATCACAACAATACAGCATTACAAAGTAGTCTGCCTTGTCACCAACAAGATTCGTTAGTTCAATTCGTGTAGCATCCTTTAGGTACGTACACATATGTTCGTTTTCTAACCAATTTCTGAATACACCACAGCACTATTCGTTGTTTCATCAATAACAATAATCTACTTGTTGGTTGACTAAAACAATAGTAACTATGTAATGGATTCGAAAGCGTTATTTACGAAACTAGAAACTATTCTATGAATTTGAAATAATTAAATG